TTCTTATTTGTAATCTGGAATAAGTCAGTAATTGTAATATGTATCTGAATTCTATTTAAAAAGGAAGATAGTGTTTTGAATAATTGCATTTACAAAGAAAAAAAATTAAACTTCAGATATCTCAATGTTTGCATATTTTAGAATTTCATTCGATACTGTCTAATTAAGGTCAAGTTACAGTAAATTGGCTATTTCAAAGATTTTAGTTAAGTTTTGTATACATCCTTGGCTCGTTGAACTATAACTGAAAATCGAAAAAAAATGAATTTATTATTTTTATTATGGCCCCGCCATTCTGTCATTCCGTCATTCTTCAACGAACAGTTATGCGAACTTTTTTCTAAACGCCTTAACATATTGAGCTGACTTTTTGTATGTGAGTTTACTATGATAAGTAACAAATCGAGTTTACGTTGGTTCAACTTCGCTGAGTTATGCCGAAATTTCGGCGTTCGGACTTTCGCTTCAATTTTTTCTTGTGAGCGGGGTCATTCGTGTCGTCTGACAGATCTTGTTTCCTAAAATATTCTATTTGAATTCTTCCAAAACAGGAGAATATTTATATAGAAAGCACATAAATTCGACAAAAAGACGTTCTAAATTTTGTCTTAAAATCATCAAATCTCCAGTTTCAAGTACATAGATGTTTCTTTACAAAGTATATGCTGTTAGTACATACATTTCCGTTTTAATGATGTAAAATAATAATAGGGTTACCGAATAACATCATATTTACGGTAAACATCATTCAAAGTAGTGTTCTAGGTGAAAGAATACCAACAAAAGGTCGAAAAAAGAGTAACGTTGTTGATTGTATAACGTCGTTTTTAATGTTTTTCACTACCAACTAGGTAACTGATTGGTTAATACAACAAAATGGAAGTCGGTGACCCTTTGATTATATTAAATCCATAAAACGGAAGTTTATGCATTAACAACATTTACTTTTTTAAGAAAAATCTATGTTCTTGCAATTGGAGATTTGATTATTTAAAGACAAATTCAAGCTTTTTTTATGTGCTTTCTATACAAATGTTCACCTATTTTGTAAGAATTTATTCAGTAATATTTCAGACAATATAAGAGATAAATGCATTATTTTTTTCTATTTTCAAAGCTAAAGTTGTATGCAATTATTTTATTAAAATCTGTGGCATAGCTTATTTACTGTTCCTTGACCTTAAATGGGCAATATTAAATCTTAAAAAGAATTGCTCCAATATTGTGTTGTGGTTAACAAATTCTTGTTACCTTTAGATTGTAACAAAATTTTTTTTGAATTAAATGTTTTTTTTAAATAATAATAATGCTGATATGAAACCACCTGATATCAAAAAGGTCTAAAATGTTTTTTAACGGATCTTTTTCAAATGCCTCAATCCTAAGGAAAATAAATCTTTTCACGAAAGTACATTAAAAGGCCCCGAGGTCAGCACTTTTAGAGATCTTATCGATGATTTTTTGCATTTTTCAGACATAAAACCTTTAGGAGAACCTTGGCCGCAGCCTACGATCCAAAAGGTCAAACTTTTTAACTATCGTTCACATTTTTTAACCCCTTAAGACTTTTTGTATCATAATATCAACAACAACAAAAAGCGCACATACTTTATATTTCCATCATTTTAATGTTTTGTATATAAATTATCAATTGAACAAAAATCAATTATACAATTGTTGTTTTTTTTTTAAATCGGTACATTGTCATCTTTTTTCTAATACTAATCACAGGTTAAACAACATGATGATGCACAGATTAAAGGCCTTAGTTCAGAGATAGTTTCTACTAGATTGTTAGCTACAAAGGTAAGTTGTCATAAGCCAATCCAGTCTTTGTCATGTTTTTATCGAGTAAAGATTAAAACCAATAAGACTGCGTAAAAATGCAATAGATATAGAAAGAAATTGTTTTAACTGTATTTGACAGAGAGAAAAAAATATTTCCGATATGCAAGCAAAGAAACAAAATCAGTATTTCTTGTGTGCAGGCATTTTATTTACATAAGTTAAACAACTATAAACTGTGTACACTCCTGTTTCTTTTACCATTTGTTTAGTCGAGCTTGACAGCAAGTTTTTTCACGAGTAGAAATTCAAAAAGGGAACACATTTTACATCATTGTGGTATTTAAACTATATTTTTAGACGTTTTCAGTTTCTATTTTATCCTTTTAATCTACATAGTTATAATGATTTGTACCAAAATCAAAGCAATATAGCATTTTATATATACTTGTTTCAGAAATTTGTTTTAAAAATGATAACTAAAAAAAAAACAAGCAAGCAAATCAACGTCTTGATTATTTGGGTATATTGTTTTTTCAGTGAAATGAACATTATTTGTGAGAAACATATGTGAACTGCAATTAGATATTGTCTGTATGTATTTTTCAGGGTACACTGAAACAGTATATTGATGATTTTATTAAAACTGTACTGACTGCTAGTTCAAATATGCTTCCTGTGATAAAATATTTGTTTGATTTCTTGGACGACGCAGCCAAACAACACAATATTACAGATCCAGAAGTAGCATACACATGGAAATGTAATAGGTCAGTATCAGAATAATAAGATTATGGGTCATGGGATGTGACAACATAATTTTGGAGATCCAGAAATGATAAACATTTGAAGATATGAGCTTTGAAAGGTTAAGGGACAACATAATGTAATAGATCGTGAAATGCAATTCACATGGAAATGTAATACACCAGATGAATGCGCTCAGAGCATGAGATGAATTGATAACATAATTTTACAGGACTTATCTAATATTGCTAACAGTGGCAAAGGAAAGAAAAAGATAATACACCTATTCTAGAACCTGCCATTATAGTGACTTCTGTGCAGCTGACGTAGTAATAAAATTTACTCTAGTACAACAGAAAACACTTCTTATTCAGTTATGTGTATTTATTTTTGAAAAAAAATCTATATCATCTATATCCTTGTATCGCAAACCATTATAACAATAAGATTTTGTACATCAAGAAATTAAATATTTCTTAAACTGATTCCAGCAACCATTAGTAGAATAATTTTCTAAAGCATTACATGTACTATAAATGTATTTTTCAGTTTATTGCTGAGGTTCTGGGTGAACATAATCAAGAATCCAGACTTTGTTTTTGATATCCACAAGACCAATATAGTAGATTCATGCCTGTCTGTGGTAGCTCAATGTTTTATAGATAGTTGCTCAACATCAGATCAGAATTTGAGTAAGGTAAGGTATTCAAAAACTTAAATAATAGTTTATATTTTTATGTGCTTATTACTGAAATGCTTAAAGCCCTAACCATGGCGACATGTTTGTCATTCTGATATTTGTTTTCTTTATGACTGTAATGATTTTTGGAACGTTAGTGGATAGAGATAATATATGCAGATGGAGTTATCATGTTAGTAAGGTTGACTTTTTTAAATTATTGCCCTCGGACCTAAAAAAATAACATGCATACAATACTTTTTTTGTAATGTCTGCTGATTTTATCCTATATTTGGTACCTATCTTATTGATGACTTTACGATTGAATTTGTTTTTGGTTCACTAAGGTGCATGAAGTTCTAAGTTGACTGGCACATCTGGTTTAGAATTATTCTGTAAAAGAATTTTACAATTTACATTATCGAACACAATAAAAAACAGTTTCGAGTCAGTTAAATATATTTGTCTGTTGATACTGTGGAAATATCTGACAGATTGATATTTCTTCAATGGATATGCTGAATACATGTGCAGTGGATTTCATCAGATTTTCAATTTGTTTTAGGATTCCCCATTAAATAAATCATTATTTGCCAAAGATATTCCAGTGTATAAGATATCTGTGGCAAAGTATTTTGAGGACATACAGAGAATGCCTGCAGTGAGTGACCAGGATCTTAATGCCCATCTAGCTGAAGTGTCTAGGGTATGTTTATATATATATATATTATGTCAACATTGAGCTTTTGTAAGCTCTGCAATTTGCGGCACATGGAAATTAAAATAGGGACAAAAAGTTAAAAGTGTGAAATGGTTTCTGGAATGACACAATTACAGCGATTGCACTCTCAAAATATCTCTTTAATCATGTATGTATAAAAAAGATTCCTATGTAAAACTATTTTTCTTTTAGGTACATTGATGAAAACTAGTGATCTTTCTGTTTATAAATACAAATCTTTATAGCAAAATTTCATATTATTTTCCTGGATATGTATGTAAATTTTTTCATTATTTTTTGAGTTGACTACTTTTTTTAAAAACAATTTACAGCTGAGCACAAATTACTTTACCAAAGACAATGCCTTGTTGGAATTGTATAGATATGTACAGACATACAATATTAAGGTTAGTTACCTAAATTACTGAAAAATCCATAATTTACTCTGTTATGACTGATAGATGGTAAGGTTTTAGCCAGGATTAAGTTGTTTAGAAAGTTATGTAAAGCACAACATCCTTTTGAAAAACATTTTCCATTTTCAAATATCTTCATAAAGTTTGTTTAAGAAGGACACAAAGTAGTTTTGAAAGAAAATGAAGACAGTTAAACAATACGTATTAGAAAAGGTAAACAGTAAGCTATTCCAAGGATGTCCTATTTAAAAAATCGAATAACCAGCAACTTCCTATTAAGTTTTTAATAGTTTTTTTGTGTACTTAACGAGGTCACAGAGACGAGATTTGGGTAGACTGTTTTAAGCGGCAGTCTCAGTTTAACCATTTTAAAAGTTTGTGATTAGGTTAGTTTAAGGAGAACCACTAGTTAAAGGTCAATATTATTTGGTATTTAGTCGTATTAGCATTTGTACATCTCATAAGCATGCAGATTATTTGACCTGTCTTCTTAGACGTGGTCTATAGACTTTAAAACTTCTTTTTAGTTTAATTTTTGAATATTGTGTTCTTTTCTTCAAAAAGAATATCCAATGCAATATTTTAGGAGAATTAACACTTTAGGAATAAAGTCCTTATACATCAATATTAATATATTTGATATTTTCTTCAGATAAATGAAAGTTTAGAAGCTGACAGTTTGACTAAAGCAGAAGAGTTTCCAGATAGACTTGGTAATGTGATTACAAATATGGGAGGTCCCTCCAATGTTGGAATGGCCTATGTGTAATGTGATTGCAAATATGGAAGATCCCTCCAATGTTGGAATGGCCAATGTGTAATGATAACAGAAACGATTGATGCAATAGACTGTGATTTATCACGAGGTGGTATATTTGTGTAAATAATTCATTTGACTACTAGAGTTAAATGATACAATATTTGAAGTGAAAAAGCATTTCTGTCAAACAAACTATGTGAAATGGAGCTTTGTTTAGGAAAATCAACAATAAGCAAATTCAATTTTACTGGTACTATTTTATAAACATGCATTCGCTATCCAATAAAACAGCTTTGAATTCTTTAAATAGAAAAGTTAGCATTGGTTTTTTCTCTCTCCTTGAAATGTGGATTTTAGTCATACCAAAAATATTGTGTAAGAATGTATGAGTGGGTAGTGTTTACTGGTTTTACCAGAATAATGCATGTGTTAATCTTTCAGTATAAACTCACCAAACAGAATTTATAATATTCCCAATAGAGAAAAAAAAATTAAAAGGGACAAATATCATCTGAGTTCATTGATTTTCCATTTGTAATTTAGTTCAAGTCTGCACAAAATTTCAGGTTTTAAAACAACATATTCAAGAAATGACAAACCAAATCAGATACATCTTATTTTTTATGATATGATTGTTACATTATGAATATTTTTCATCTTGCATAGCACATTATTAGTTTTCAATCTAAACAAGTTTTGAATTCATATTCAGCATTCTGTATAAAATTGATAATGGCAAAGTGAATGCAAATTGATAATGGCTTTTTCATAATAGTACAGCAGTTGCTGTAGAATTGTACCGTGTTAGCAAATACATTTAATACAATTATAGTATGTTATGACGTTATGTATGTAATTTTTGGGGATTTTTTTATGTTAAAAGATATTTTATATTATATAATATATTTTGTATTTTTTATTTTATATCTTTCATTTCTATGGGAACAGTACTTTTTCTTATATAGTTTATTGTTATAATATGAATGTAGTCCTATGTTTCAGCTACGTTTTAGTTGTTCATATCTTTCCTGTTGAAAACAACCTCAATTTTGTTTGAAGGATGGTTCCATCATTAACCACCACCATTCATGTGAAAGGCACATTGGAATATCTTCCTTTTTAAGGGTTTGACATTCAAATGCAAAAAGATCAAAAACTGGTATTATAGCCTATGCATATTTAGATCATTTAAATCGGTGCACACATTTCTTTAACAACAAACAAATCATAAAAATCATGCATTGAACACAGCAAAAATACTTTAAATTATTTTTTCTCAGAGACTCATGGCATTTTGTATTTTTAGCAAATCTCAGTTGCATAAAACTTTGATGATTATTAATCAATAACTGCACAAGTTCATTGTACAGAAAAAAATTGTCGTGAAAATAAGCCTAAGTCTACAATTTTATATCTACCTTTTCATATCATTTAACCATGAGAGTTAGCGTCTTGCTCATGTCATTTCAAAAGTAGGAAAAACTTTCAATCAACTTATATGTGTTTGAATATGTCCCTAATGCTGTGGTCATTTTTTGTATTCTTGTCTTTCATTTTTGCTTATGTGCTATGTCTATATGCCATTTCGTTTCTCTTTGTTGACATATTTGTTTGTTTTTATAGTGGTTAAGATTATAACACAATGTTGACTACTGTACCCCTATTTTTGATATTTATACCTATTATGTCTCTTTATTTGTTCACACATTGTTGTCAATATAATGGAATTTTATGTGACTGTCATACAATTGAGAGGTTTAGCTAGCCAATAAACCAGATTTAATCCACCATTTTCTACAAGGAAATGCCTGTACCACGTCAGGAATAGGACAGTTGTTTTCCATTCGTTTGATGTGTTTGAGCTTTTTATTTTGCCATTTTATAAAGAACTATCCGTTTTGAATTTTCCTTGGAGTTCGATATTTTTGTTATTTTACTTTTTATTTGTTGAGGGTGGGTGGTTAATCATGGTAAATGTTTTCAATTTCTTTCAATATCACTGATCTGCATGACATAAATGAAATGGAAATATTGCTAAAATCATTAAAGAAATAACTTATATGCCATCAGACACTTAAGGAGATCCTTTTTTTATTTAAACTTAGGGGATCTTGAAATTTAGAAACATTTTATAATTGCAGCTATCCATGCCAATGTTAAATGGGAACAAAATGTGTTTTTTTTATTTTACAGTTATGTTATTTTTCTGGAATAACAAAACTAAATCAAAATTCTCGTGAAAGAGTTTGACTTCAGAAAAGTCTTATTAATTTCAATCCAATGTTATTTGTTGTATATGGTTTTTCATTTTTATAGATGTGTCTAAGAAATATATATGTGTTTATCTTTTGTCGTAGTCATTTTTATATTCATATGAAGAGAAAGTTATGATCATCGAAAGGTTCATAGATGTTTATCATTGATATGTTATTTTCGCTTTTTACAGTTCTTGTAGAAAGGAAAGTAATAAATTGATTTTATGATATAAAGGGATTAGAAAATTGTTTAATATACAAACAAATTTAATATCCGTTTTTTTTTCTTTAAAAAAGGATTTTGTGTGTAGGTTGAGAGGCAAAAACTCATATTACATTTACATGGAAGGGTTTTATTGTCAATATTTTATTCGTGATTCTAATTTTGCAAATGTATGTCAGTCACCTAAAATATTTAATTTTAATGCAACTTTGATATATTTATATTATCTTATCTTAAAGAAGGAATAGATTTTTTTATTTAGGCATTTGACAAAATTACATTACTGTGACCTTTATTATAGGAAATTTTTAGTTCATCAGATCTAAGACATCAAACGTTACCCTTGTATATGGGATCTATTACAAAAAGTTGTAATTAGCAATGCACATTCTAAAAGCATATCATGCTATGAGTAGCCAATTAACTTCTTCAAGGTAAAATATGTTCCATTTTGAAATGTATGCCTTCAGTAGTACTAATGCAATGTTACTTAGACCTGGCAATCGAGAGAAAGAGAAAATTATGCAAATTTACTAATCTAGTCAAATGCTTTGTAATGTCTGAAGTTCAATATCAAAAGAAGATAATCTTGATTCTGAATTGATGTCTTCAACTTACTGCATGACAATCTTAAAAAGAAAACAATCTTTATAAGAATGATGCAATGATAAAACATGAAACAATATATATATAAAGTTTCTGTTAATCACTTATTATGCCTGCAGAAAAAAAATTTGCTTTGTTAATGTTTTTTTTTTTTTTTTTTCTTTTTTAAGAACTAACGATGTAGCCTTGGCCTCCAAAGATGGTTTGCATTGATGACCTAAGCGAATCAGTTATAAGAAGTAAATGAATTAACAAGTGTTTTTAAACATATTGAATTTGTATGGTTTATTCAGAAGAGGGATGACACTCTGCACACGACACGCAGATTTGTCTTATATTATCAATCGGTCGTAGCGATATTTATTACAATCAGATCATTGTGTGAACATCACCTGGTTAGTCGAAATGTGTTGACTGAGATTATAAATATAAGCAGTTATATACAGTTGTAATAGTTAAATAATATACATACATAAAATTCAGAATGGAAACGGGGAATGTGTCAAAGAGACAACCACCCGACCAATCAGAAGAAAACAGCCGAAGGCCACCAAAGGGTCTTCAACACATCGAGAAAATCCCACACCCAGAGTCGGGCTTTAGCTGATCCCTTAACAAAAAAGTATAGTAGTTCAGCAAAAATGGAAGTCATACTAAACTCCGTACATATTAATAAACCAAAATCAAAAAAACATACAAGATAAACGAAGGCCAGAGGTTCCTGACTTGGGACAGGTGCAAACATGCGGCGGGGTTAAACATGTTTTGTGAGATCTCAACTCTCCCCCTTAACATCTAGCTAATGTAGAAAAACAAACACACAGCAAAACGCACAATAAAACTCAGTTTAAAAGAAGGCCGAGTCCGATGTTAGAATATGTAATAGAAGAAACTAAGCAAAATGACAATGATAAACATAAATTACAAAGGACTATTAGCAGTTACTGTCATGCCAGCTCCAGACCTCAATTTAACTGATTGAAAGGTTATGTCTTCATTATATGAAAATCCAGCACAATCCCTCCAGTTAGGGGTTTAGAATCATACCATCATTAAATATACGAGAAGAACGTAACCCGTATTAGGCCAACAACTGGATTTAGAATAAATGTGTTTATTTCCGATGCAAAGACCCTATGAGTAAATTAATATTCATTCCATCTTTAATTACCTGACAACAGTATCGTAACTATAACCCTACTTATATACATATATGGAGTTATTTCCTTTCAGAACGACAGGTCATTCTTTTGATAAGCTTTGTATTTTCAAATAATTAAACATCGAGCATCACTAAAGAGATATTTATTGTCGAAATAAGCATCTGGTGTAGAAAATATTGGTACCGTTAATGTTAGTTGAAGAAACATATTGGACGATACCAAATTTCAATTAAATGTGCTTCAAGGCATAAAATAATGACCTGCGTCAGGTCATTATTTACCATTATTAAAAAAAACAAACTAAAGAGTACTTTAACATTTAATTCTTGGCAATTGGGGTTTTATTGTATAATTTTCTATCTTGGACATTTTTTAAAAGATTAGTCAGAAACAGTCCTTTCTTCCGTTTATCATAATAGGCTGAAATAAATACCATTTACTACATTAAATGACAAAATACTCTACGTTCTTTAAAAAAAGGAGGAATATTATATGATCCTGATTCTGATCCTGACAGACATAAGTAGAGAAAACAATTATTCTGAAAAGTTCGTAAAAATTGTTGAAAAAATAATTTGCTTTTCCGTGATAAAAATATCGTGAAACAAAAGAAATAAATATAGTACCACCTTTATCATGTATATATAGCTTATATGATAAATTACTATCAATTCATTTGCTTCTTACTTCATTCAACTTCTGTAACATTTATATTGTAACTGGACACTAATTTCTAACGTTCATATCTAGATTAATAAGTGAGTTTTATTTCACATTAAAAATGAGCCGTGTTTATACCTAAATGCTTAAGAAAAAATACCCACCTTCAATATGGTCGGTAAAATAGGATACAGTTCCTAAACATTTTTGCAGAAAATAATATTTGTTTACGGTATATAATTCAGATAATGCATATTTCATGGTTTTTCTTGTCGTATAACACGCCTACGGTCGCACTTTATATTTACGAATGATATCCTTGTACCACGTGATATAAAAAAATTTGCACACGGCACCTAGGCTGTCGTCCCTCCTCTATGGTTTATTGTTATTACACAAAAAAAGTATATTCTACATGATGCACAGCTGTATTTCAATCTTGGATTTTTATGTTATCTTGTGCAAAGAATAATTTAATTATTATTGTATGTATATTTGTATATGTTTTATTTTATACGGTGTTTTTTTTCAAGACTGGGATAAACAAATTTTAATTAATGTTCAGCATCATTTAAATTTTAAGTGTTGATTAGTCAGTCACAATTACATGTTAATTGTCATTTGTGCAACCCAGTTCAAGATGTTTTAAACAACCTGAAATTTAATTTTTCAACTTTAAAAAATCAGAGGGAAATCCCACACAATTTAGGCTGATGTAAGTAGAATTTTAGTTAGATTTTTAGTTAGGGTCATACATGTCAAGTAAAAATTCATCTTTTGTTACTGAATTCTTAAAAATCTAAAACAATATAAGTTGTTTATTTTTTATATATTTTGATAACAAATTATTGTAAGAATTTTAAAATTTGACTAAACGTTTTACAAGGTTATTAAATTAAGCAACATTATTCGTATCATTTTATCACACAAAAAAAGCCTCAGAAGTATTCATTATTAGTTTTGGAATATTGCCTAAATATTTGAAGAGCATAACACTTACTATTCAGCTAAAAATTTAACATATATTTTGGAAAGAATTTCTTTAACAGAAAAAGCTGCATATTACTGTGAAAACCTGGAAGTTTACTTTATATTTCTAAAAAAATATATACTTGAAAATAGTTGTAATTTGCAGCTCTAACTATTTATATTTTCTTAATATTGTTAATGATGTCACATAACTGGAATAATATGGCTAAATGAAGAAATCTTTCTATTTTTTTATCAACAAATATTTCATCCAACGAAATGTTTGATAAAAATCAAATACAAACTGTGGTCTATCCTCAAATATTGTATTTATAGCAATTTGAATTAATAGGTATTATATATGATATTGCTTTCATGTGCTCAGATTGAAAATATTGTTAGCTATGCACAGTATGTATATAATCATATACATATATATATACTATTATATAATATGTAAATCATATGATATAAAATGCTTACTTGAAAAGTTCCAAATGATAATCATCATTTATGAGAAAATAAAGTATTGAAAAACTGGTTTTTGATTTCTATTTCATGTAAAAGCATAATTGTGTTTTCCCCTTAACTTTAAAATTGTTTCAAAAGTTAATTCATTGTAATTATTGAGGTTGGAGTTTGACCTAACAGGATCATCCGAAAGCTAAATTTGGACAATGTTTAGTTGATGTCACGTTTAATTCTCAATTGTATTGAAAATACCATCAAATGATGATATGAAAACTAGAACTGGAAAAGATAGATGCATTTTACACAGCAATTGAAAAATCACTACCCCATTCATATGGCCTTACACGTACAGATATGGTACTATAGTTTCAATTAATCTATGTTAACAAAATTTAAATAATATAAGATTGTTAGTATACCATCTTCTTTCACTGGCCTACTAGCATTAATGACACATTTATAGCGGTTTGAGATCAATATAGTTGAATTTAGTTGAACAGTTTTTGTTGCATAATGCACAGTGCATATGGGTCAGTAGTTGTTTTTAACTGTCTTATATATTTTGCTATTTTTTGTATAGCCTGTGTTGGCAATCACAGAATACAAAACACGTATGTTATTCTAGTGGTTATGTCAAGTATTTCAAGAATAAAGCTTAATATTTCAAAATGTAGAAGAGCAATACAATCCATCATTTAAAGCTATGTAGCCTATGGGCAGAAATGTTCGTCTGCTATTTGTGTCATTGAGTCCTTTTCCTCTTTTAGAGATTTGCTTTGAAAAAAAAAATGCTACATTTTTGTGATTAGTTTAGTTTGTCATATTTTAGTGTTGAATTCAAATTGTCATTTACAATTAGTATCGGATCAATTTTATTTGGTCAATAGAATAACTATTAAAGGGAGTACATTTCTGGCTTACATGTGTGACAATTGACACTAACCTATTCATAATTTAATGATCAACATAAAAATTTTATTATGTAAGCTTTTCCGCTATCATGTCTAACGATTCATGTATATTTAGTCGTTTTAATCATTGTATGATGAACATGCCTGTCTGACTGATAAGCTG